AGGGTCACACAGAGCAACCTCCTCCACACACACACGCAAATTCAAATCATCAATTGTGTGTAGAGAGGTGGCGAATTAGGGAGGAAGTGACCATTGTCCGTCTGCCCTAAGGTCAGATCTCTTCATGTCACACTTCATTTCTGACCTTTTCATAGGTCAAGAATCATAATTTATTCAGTGTTTTAACATGTTTATTTTCCACAATATGTTACTTTGATATAGATGGCGGATACTTTACATTGTATAGAGAAATAGTAAATAGTGATTAAGATTTAGGCAATTACCAATAAAATGAAAAAAAATAAAATAATAGATAGCATATGTTTTTTTACAGTAACATCGCTTTACTTTTAACAAAAAAATTGGATACTTCCTGCCAGTCGGCATCTTTTAAATCCAGTCATGGTTACATAGGTTTTGAGAATTTCCAGTTTTTCATGCTCGATGTTTGTGTTTGCTTTTTACTGTAAGAAATGCTGTACATTCACATAAGGGCAAGGTATCGTTCGTAGGTAACTCTAATGTGGATATAATACCCAAGTTTTGGTACCAAGACTAAAACAATTTAAACAGGTTTACTTAGAGACTTATTAACTATGTTTTTCTAAACCCCTTTACATGGTAAATCCAGTTTAAAAACAAACATCTTTACTATAACTTGCATACCAAAATAAGATAAGTCTAAAATTGGCAAGTTTTAATTTAAATCAAACACTATTTAATTAAAAGAATATGAGTGCAAAATGTACGTGCCTTTAGGCTTTGCTTTCACTGAATTGCTTTCATATCAAACACAATTTGTAGAGATTGAGAGATGAAGCAGAAACATTGTCATTTCTGCTAAGTGCTTCTCTTGCCATTTGTGCCTTGACAAAATAGTCTAAAAGTAATAACCTTGCAAACTTTATTCAGATAATGTCTGTTTTAGATAATAAGTAAAGAAGAGCGCAAATCTGAACATTTGATGACAACTTGTAGTACTTGACAGACATGTATATTCTACAGTTATACCTGTGTTCGGATGGAACCAAAAAGGTATTGAGGTTCAAATTAGCCTTATTTCCCACACATTCAATAACTTATTGTTACAATAAGAATGAATCTTAATCTCACTGCACCATCCGCTGCATTCAAATAAGGCTTAAATCAAATTTGACCTTCACACTTAAGATTCAGAGACACAACAGTAACAGGTAGATGTAGACAGAGAGAGGTGGTGGGAGTTAGACAGGACAGATTAATTTTGTCTTCATCATCTCATCATGCAGACGAGGATTTGCCGTTGAACTTGAACCTAGCTCCCTCCCACCGCCTGTTTTCATGAAGGCAGCCTAAAGCCCTCCAGCACCCCCACCCCCCCAGCGCTGTGCCTGTCTTTGTGAAGCTGTCTCCCTTGACTTTCCGCATCCCCCGTCTGGCCCTCTGCAACCTCTCTTCCATCTCAGCCCCCTCCCCTCCCGTGCAGCCATTCTTCACTTCTTGGTTGGGGGGCTCCAGGAGACGGCCTGCGGGGACTCGCAATACAGAATGCTAATCAGGCCCTCGGCGGCACTTCCCACGATTTTCCTCCCAGACATGAGCTTTTGTTTCGTTATTGATTCCATTATAATCAGACGGTTCCCGTAACTTTCCTGCTGTCTGGAGGCCGGTCTGCAGCGCTGACTGCAGCAGAGGGCCTACCTGTCATATGGCCCTTCTCTCATTCAGGATTTATGTTTTGTCTTAGTTAAACAATACAAATTCTCTTGTTTACAAAATCTGCAGTGGTTCTTACACTCACAATATTAGTGGGGTTTTGCCCTCTTTAAATACACTGCCAGTCAAAAAGGTTTAGACACCCTAAACGTTTAGCATTTTTGTTTAAATATGATTTTAAATGTACTGAAAATACCTTTAACTGAGAAATGTTCATATGTTTTTATCCTGTAGGAAATAAGCAAATGGTCCTGATCACTCTGTAATTAGGGTTCTGTTGTAGACAACCTACTGTATGATTTGTAGAGTGGATTCTAATACTGTGTGTTTTTCACACTAGGCGAGCTGCCAGATCTTTTTTAACCAGATTTTTTTCCAGTAACCACACGCAGTTTGATGCAACATTTTTCATGTTTAGTAATTTATCCTTTATTTATACAGTGTACAGGAGGTACAACAACATCATGTTAACAGTTTAGTAGAACAGCAAATACAAAATAACAACAAAAGCAGAGTCAATTAATAAAACAGAAATGTCAGACATGTCAGACATTTTGGTCGGCCATCATCAGGCTGTTGCGCAGTTGAAGCAGAGCCACGAAGTGGCAATCAGAGCATCTGAAAGTGCCACGGTGACACAAAGCTAGCTATCATGTTAATGATCTGTACAGTAAAACATAGCTAGATTACCTCTAATTTTCTCTGCAAAATGGAGAAACTATACTGTCCACGCCTTCCTAGCCACCTGCGAGTCCATATACGCCGGCATACAGAATGGCAGCATGTTTCTGCCTTGTTAGCATTATCGCTAGCAAACAATCTTCTACCTGCCTAAGAGGAAACAGGCGGCACAGTGTAAGAACATTAATAGTTAGCTTTGGCTTTACATCGCAGACAATTTATACAGTCTGTGCAATTTACTCGTACAGTAGGAGTTGGAATTAAACATAATTTCTAAAATTGTACAATGATTGCCCAGCTTTACAGAAGGGTAGGCTACATCTTTTGATTTCAGGTGACATTTTAGATTATTTCATGAGACTGCTGTACTAACAGGAAAGGCAGTCTTTCCTAGATCAGTTATATAATCATGTACAGTTTCTTTCTGGCAAGTTCTCATTAAGAACATCTTTCCTTCCTAAGAGTACCCACTAATTGTGAAATTTAAATTCTAGCTTACTAAAGGCAGGAACACGGGAGAGGCTGGCCAATTAAACCCATATTTGTTAAAACATATAGACAAAGTCTCCAGTGATACATGCAGGAGATTTCAAATAAATAAATGTATATTGTAAACAACAATTTACCCAGAAACATGGACGTAGTGTCTGTGATTTCACCCATAGTTTTGCCTGTCGCCATCTTGGCAGTGTCTGACTCTGCATAACTTCCAGCTAATGCAAAAATAGGCACATGGTTGGAGCATGGATGGAGCTAGCAGACAGCTAGCAGCTAGCCTCCTGTCACTCAAAGTGACCACGCCCTTAATTATGCATAACTTTAAGCCTTAATATAACTGAAACAGGTTAGTTGTATAAAAATTCACCCCCTGTACAGAGTGCATGAATGAAGAAATTAGCTATAAAATTCCAACTTATTACATTACATACATTACATTACACATTACACTTATTACATGAAGCAGCTGAAACATCAACGTCACTCCTGTAGTTGTGATTTCTGTCCCATATATAGTGAGCTGAAGGACAATGACGTCCACTTATAATGAACGATTTATATCTGTCATATTGTGCGTCAAACAGAAGCTTGGAAACCTTTTCCTAGATGAGATCTTTAGTCCCAGAGTGTTTGTGAGCTGAATGAGGAGCTCGTCCATCCAGATGTTTCCAGACTCTACATGGAGCACAGAAGCAGCTGGATCTTCTGGCCTGCGCCTCCTTAAGAGCAGCTGTGCCACGATGTCCCAGACGCAACACATCATCCAGATGTGACTCGGATCTTCCTCTGCAAGTGTACAGCGCGTGTAAACATTGATCAATGATTGTGTTTAGTGTTTATATGAGCGTGTTCTCTGTTGACTACTGGAGCATTTCCACCTCCAGACATTTCTAATGAGGTTTTTGTGAAATAAGTTGGTCAGTTACAGTTATATTACTTTCACTGTACAACCACGTCTTGATCCTGAATTTATAAATAGACAATAGAAGCCAATGAAGCCACCTCCATGTAACAGAATAGTTTCATCCAGATGGATCTATTCAACCTGAATCGTTTCTGAAACGTCATATTCTTTAAATTCACAGTAAGGCGGTTTCTCAAGGTGAGCTCATGTATTAATCATTAAATATACCAATGTAATGTGGTGTTAAACTTATGTGTAATGTTAAGGGAAATCATCTCACAAATCTGACTACTGGCAACATAAAAATCACAAAATACATCCTCTATCACAGACAACGCTGGTTGTTTTTAACAGAATTTAGGGAAATTGCTGTATTTCCGTATTAGAATGGTTTTTCCCAGCTACACTTCAGTTACTGTTAAAAACAAGTGTAAATCAAATGTGTGAGTGAATAAGAGTTGTTAATCTAGTCTCCACTGTTGGACCTTCTGGGTTATAGCTGGGTAGAGAGCAGGTTGTCTTTATGACAATCACTTGCATGCCATTGAGCAAGGCAGTGCACCACAAGCAGTTAAGCTTCTATGTGGCTGATGGTAAACGTAAAAGCCATCAGATGACAGCCATGACAGAAAGTATATAACTAACCTTATCGTTCATATTTATAAAAAACTAATAGTAAAAAATGAATAGAAATCGTTTTGAAAGCACACAGCTCAATGGTCATGTGCCCAGATAAAGCCCCATGATGCAGAGCATGCTGGAAATAAATCCATGTATCATCCAAAATTGGTATGGAATTCCTTTTTTGATGTGTATGACTTATTTTCTTAGGCTCTCTGTTGCAAAGTGGGAGCTGGAGTTTATTTCTAAGTTCTTTGTCTTCAGTGTGACTATTTACATGATTTTGGGCATTAAACAGGAACAGAACAGGCTCAGATATCCTGTTTTGTTTTGTTATCTGCTTGATACATAAAAATGGATTTTATGTGTATTTACATATGAATTAATTAAAAATAATAATTAAATGCTTCAGCTAATCATGGCTACATGGATAGTTCAGGTCAGGTTTGCAAAACATGCCCTGTTGTTGTTGTTTATTTAACGTTAGTATGTGGACGATGTACTGTAGCAGATATTGTAATATGGATGTAATTTGATGGTTCAGCAAATTGGTGAAATAACCGTTGTGTCATTGTTGATTCTACGCCTTTATCATTCTCATCACAGATAATATAACTTGTTTCACACACAAATGTAGACATAGTAAAAATCCACACATACAGTTATTGTCATTGTAAACATTGATACTTTTATTGATTACATTAACTGCAGTAGAAACAGTTGCATAGTACAGACATCAAGCACATTAACAGAAAGTCATGTGCAAATCATGCTCATAAAACCTGAAACAGTACTTTATAGTGCATTATAATATCAATTGCATTATTCTCTCTAAATAGTGTTCAACCTGCATAAACTCTAATGCACATATTAACATTAGATCATAGCAAAATCCTCTGCATTCAGTAGTACATCGTAAGAGGAGCTGATTTGACTGATAAATGTGGAATACATCCAGATTTTAGTCTCTGAGACTGTGTAATTACTGAATTAAAGGATACAAGGCTAAACTTCTACTAGCGAGGTCTGTATTCATTGTTTCTACAGCATACAGAATAACGCACACATTGCACCTATGCTCATATACTGCATATTAGTAAAACATCACAATTCACAACATTTCTCTGTGGACACAAACTGAAACAGAACATTTAGCTGCTAATGTGCTTAACTTAAAAACACAATTCATGTGCAAACACTAATGCAAATAGTGCAAACTTAACAAATGCAACCTCCTACTCATTTCTTTTGCATAGATAAAAGTAAACATATGATAATTATGATTGCACAAAATGCTTCCCTGCAGTGAATATGTACACTAAAAATAAGAAAATACAATTTAATAAAGATTGTAGAAAGTTGCAATGAAATTAGGCTCCAGTCTTGTTGTACACAAAATAAAAAATAAGAAAATGTGATGTATGTGATCACTGATTTAACCTGATTTAAATCATCTGTAAGAACAAAAGTCGTTAAATAGAAATGTACACTCTAATAAACAGTAATGAGATGATGAAATGTGAAAAATGTACTGTACTGTATGTGTCATCTGAGGGATTGATAAAATTAACAGTTGATAGAAACATCTAGTTTTACATCAGACAAATATACAAATTCAATTGCTAACTGAAAAAAAATAAAAACAAAGATTAAAAATGTTTTAATCTAGCATTTAAGATCTAGGATACAATTCTCATCTAAAGGAGAATTGATAGTTAAACTAATAATAATAGTACAAAACATTCAAAACATCACAGCAAATCTTTTTGTCATCTACCCTATAAATCTAAAATCTAACCTTTTCTTTATCCTTCCTTAAAAACAAACCCACTCTGAATCTCAAATTTTGTGCTTTTTGAGAGAGATCGAGATAGTGTGATCTGAGCTCTGACCTAAATGAAATTCTAGTGCAGATGTTTCCAGAACAGCTATGCAGAGCAATTCCCAAGAACACAACACCGTCCACTTTTCCGTCCTTTACTCTCACAGATTCAGTCCACAACAGTTTGTCCACTTGCATCAAAGTCTGTTGTCTTTCAGATAAAGATGTTCTGTCGTGACACTTGTATCTGTTACCACTTTTAAGACCTGACGGTGGACAGCAGAGTTAACACTGTCAGGCCTTGTTGTTGTTGTTGTTGTAGACGACTGCTTTCACAGAATCCATACATTTCCTCCAGTATATTAGCGGTCAACGATGTAGTCCTGTGTGAATGGGACATCATTGGACTCAAAGTCACAATCCAAAGAGATGGTCGGCAAAGATCTGGTGATTCCCAACTCCTGACTGAGCAGAAACCTTAAAAGAAGAAGAGGAGACATTAAAAACAAATCCATTAAAAAAACTACAAAATAAAGCACAACCACATTCACCTATAGCCTTCCAAACTTTACTTCTAGAAAGAATAAAACATGTACCATACAGATGTACAGTTTCATGATTTCTTCCAAACTATTCATACATGTACAAATGCAGTATGTGGAGCAACAGAATATCTATGTGGTTGTATTTTTAATACTGTATTATACTCAAATTATGTTGGCGAACCAGTTGGCTCAAATCGCTCCAATTCCTCAGATGCTCTGATTCTACTGTGTTCAACTTCACTGCATTTACAGAATAGGACTGCAGACGACTTAAAGATATAGATCCCAGGAGACCAGCCTGGTTAAATCACATCTACACATGCAATTAATAATCCAAACTCATATATTCTGCGTGACACACATATCCGATATTTCTGGGGAACAATCAGCCTATTTTGACAAAGCCCAGTTAAAATAAATACATGGTAAATATGTGGACGGATTGCAGCCTGATTCTGTGCACAGACTCAAACATTAGTGGGACTCTGAGCTAAGCCAGGCATAATTTATCACAAAGCTCACTGTTGGTGTTTACTGTATCGCCTTTACTGCTTTTTAAATTTTTTACTGTAAGCTCACATTCACCCCCCATAGATGACACGCTAATAACAGAGGGAACAAACTCACACATAAAAACAATCAACCCAGATAAAGGAGGTGAAACACAAAACTCCAAAACAGCCATGTCTGTATTTGCCAGTATGGTCTAGACACAAGCTGCTCTCCCAATCACCAACATCACACCTCCTTCTCCTCTCCCTCTCCTTCTCCTACTCTTTCTCCCCCCCCCCCCTTCTCAACTATCATTGTCTGAGCCACCAAAGTGTTTTTTTTCCCACGCTTTATTTTTCCCCGTCCTGTTTGTAGGCAGGCAGGAGGAGGAGGTGAGGGGTGGAGGGGAAGGAGGGCTAAGAACTGATGGGGTCACCATGGCAACCCCACATTGGCATGCCACTGATTGGACTATGTGGTGGCTAATTATTCAGCGCATATGCTTAAAAAAAACAATAAAGTAGGACGTATTCAAATGCAGAGCCTCGCATTGCATGGTGTGTGATTAACATAAGAGCCCAGTGCTGCTTTTGAAGAAAGACGCCTCAGTTTTGTCGCTCCACGTTGAACTTAAATAACATTTTGTCTGCATGTTAAATACATTTGGACATAGCTTTAGAACTGTTATGCTTTTGTTTTCATAAATTTACAGATTTAGTTTATGAAATGTGAACTTTTTGTCTTGAACTTTACATTTAAATGTAAAAAAATGTATTTAAACTAATTCTTTTTATCTATGAAAAGATTAATAAGTCACATTTAGGCAGTTTGCATGCGAGGATCAACAAACTTTACACTGAGGCTGCAAAAAACTGAAAGAAAAACCATGAGCAGCATGCTAATGGCAGGCCTCTGAGCACTGGCATGATAGGCAAATTGTGTGTGTGTGTGTGTCAGAGGCAGTAGGGATGGAAGGTCTGCTGAGTGAAAGAAACCGGTGTGTGTGTGTGTGTGTGTGTGTGAGGAGGGGAGGTTACATTAACAATGGCCAGTATTGTTTACCAATCTCCCTTGTCCATTAATCAGGACGATCCGGGTCTAATTGGAGTTTTGGTTAAGCTGGTCTCCAGACCCCCCTTCCCTCCACTGGCCTAAATAATGGCGTTACGCCACAAGTGCCGCCACACATTGGGGAGGACAATGTACCGCTTGTCTGAGGGCCCAGGATAGGATCCCCACCCTCTCCTCTTCCCCTCCTTGCTTAGCGCCTCCTGCACCCCCCAAAATAAACCTCACACAGAAACACAAAGAAGGCCTCTCACTATTGAGATCTCACTGTCGCAGGCTCCCTCTCCTTGTCTGTCAGCCCCCCCTCTCCTCATCCTACCCTCTGTCCAGTCTTTCTCAGTCACTTACTACACTTTACCCTCCCAGGACTCATAGGTGGGTCGCTCGTTTCTGGCAGTGGTGGTGAGAGTTGCAGGTTCGGTGGTCAGGTTGAAAAACCACATCGAAGGAGGTGATCCTACTCACTTCTTTAACACTGTGTGAAGGTTGGCTTAATTGCCGATGTCACATAAAACCTCCGAACTCAAAATCAGTGAAATGTTAATCTTTTCAAACCAGCTGAGCATGCTCAAAGTAAAGCCAGAAAAGTTGGCATGATGGTTTTTATTCAACAGCACAAAGTTACTGTATATTAATGTAGAGTTATTTACAGTTAAATCACAAAAGACATTTATTTAATCTCTTGGACTTTCGAAACCAAATGGTTAAAATGCATGATCATAACATTTCACGTTTGACGCATTCAACAGCAACAAAATAGAGAGAATTGATGTTTAATTATTAAATATTATTACCAGTAAAATCTCCTCTAATTCAGAAATCAGTGGAAGTTAATGGCGCTGTGTCAAATAGTCCATACGGCAACAAATATTCTTCTACAAGCTAATTTTAAAATTGCACATGTGACTCAACCAAGTGTGACAACAAGCAGGGATTTATTATTTATTATTAAGACAACTATGTTACTAATTACGGTTCCTTGTGGGTGTTAGGGAGCATGTAGGTGGGTTTTTTCCGCATCATCAAATGAAGCTGTCTGCACACGCATTCAGCGTAAATGAATGCTCCACACGCAGAAATAATGCCAGTAGAGCAAAATTGTAACACTTTGTAATCAAAACCCTTGGAATAATCTAATTAACGTCCCAGAAATCAAGCGGTCGAAAAAGAGTTTTCAGAGGGGGAATCCAGATCACTGGTCGATCACCAGTGTCTGCAGCGTGACGACGGGCACAGCGAAAGCGACTCAAGAACCGCAGCTGCCCTTAAAAATGCCAGCTTGCCGACACTCAAAAGCCACTGGCTCTACGCTTTCCTCCAATCTCATCCCTTCCCGCGTGTCTCTTGGGGCGATCTCTACAATTAACAAACTGGCAGTAATTAACACTGTCTTGAGGCAACCAATGGCGCGAAAAGGATCGGGGGGGGGCCAACATGAGGTGGGGGAAAGTGCAGCGCTGGCTGTCCATGTTCCCTTTTTTCAGCTGCCATTTTGTGCCAGTCTTAACACCTAAGATGGTGGCAGGACTGTGACTTGCTGTGTGGGAGAGGAGGACAAACTGGCAAGGGAGGGGTCTGAGAAGAGGAGGATTATGGGATTGAGAAGGGGAGTCTCTTATTTTCATTCTTCTAGTCGGTACATTGCTGAACGGTTACCAAGACAGGGGAAAAAGAGAGGCGGAGAGACAGAAAAAGGCATGATCGTCAGATTGCTGCCCTATATGCACACACACACACACACACATACACGTAGAGGAGGAATTCTCCCACACATGGACACGCAAAGACACACACACACTCACATATCAGAGAGGAAGAACAAAGTGTTTATACAGTTTGGGTGTGAAACTCAACAACACTGTGATGGTCTGTTTGTATGAAAAAAAACATGTAATTTACATGTGCTTAATATACAGCGCACACATACAAACACACACATGTGCCCATGCATGAACACACACACACACACACACACACACAAACAACCAACACAGCCGTTCTCATGGTATGGTCTGCCCCTGAGCATGCAAATGACATTCATTATGCAAATGCATACAAATCAGAACCAACCATCTGAGAATCCAAGCTGGGGAAAAACCAAAAGAATAAAATTAAATGAATGAGGGGAAAAGAAAAAGAAAGAAGAAACATGTTGGGAAGTGTGCGTGGGGAAAGTACAGTGTCACTTTAAGGTGCAAAAAACACATGTAAACAGAAAAATAGCTTATAACCTATTTTTCTATCTACCAAAACATAAGATTTCAAAATATAAAAAGCTGCATAAATTGCAAATATAACAAATTTAGTTGCAATGTATAAACATTGCATTAATGTAAAGCAGAATTTTTTCTTTGTTTTAAAAATTAATTCAGTAAATTAAATAATTCTCAAAGCCTTGTTTTCACTAATGTATGGGGACTTCTCCAGATTGAAACCTCACACTACCTCACACTACAGACAGTTGAGTCGTTGTTGTTAGCAACTTTTAAAGATTTTATGTTCCTAGATAGTTTTTATTCTCAACATTGCTACGCTAAAGATGGGAGAGGGATGACACATGCACCATCTTTCCTCACTGTCTTCTTGTGCCTCAAAGATTCTGTCTTTCAGTTCTTTAGCAGGAAAAACAGAAAATCAACTGCAGAAGAGCATCAACTGGAATGGAGATGCTCCAAATGATGGCAAAGTGCCGCTAATTGCCTCTCGAGGTGTTCTTTGTGTTGTTTCACCTCTCTCAGCACCACTGCTTCTGTAGGACATGCTCTCTAAAACCCCAGAGGATGTGCATGCACGTTATCATCCATTTAATAAATCATCCAAACCCCGAAACTCGACCCAAAATTGAGGAGACAGTTGTGTGTTTGTGCTCTGTTTAAAATAGAAGCTGATGAGGCTGGAGGCTCTCTTGCTTGGTTATTAATTTCTATATTTACATGGAAATGTGGACATGTAGAAATCTGCTTGCCAGTTACAGATACCTCCATTTACCAGGTGTCTGAATGTAAAGAGCTACAGCTTCATGTCTCAAGCATGCATACTTCACACCACAACCAACGACAACAAACAGATTTCCCTCCTAAAAAAGACTCCAGCAAGAAAACTGTGCTAGAAAGCTTTAGCCAATTATCTGGCATCGATGAAAAGGCAAAAAGAAAAAGAGGCTAATTAGAAACAGATTGGGGCAAAATTCTTACCAAAAAAGAAGTGCAATTATACAAAGAAATTTGTGTGTGTGTGTGTGTGTGTGTGTGTGTGTGTATGGTTGTGCATTTGTTTTTGTGTGTGTGTGAGAAAGAGAGAAAGTGGCCTATAACAAAAAGGAAGGGATTTTATCAATGATAATTTTTTTTTTAGTTTAACATTTATCTCAACATCCTATCCAAGTGCTTTGAAACCGTAAACTCCCTTATTCTTCTCCTTCCTGAAGTAACTGCAGCTCATGGAAGCAATATGCTTCATTCTTCAATGATGTATTTGCAGCGATAATACGTTTTTCAGAAACAAAACCACCAAACCGATGAGGTGTTGTTAGTGTCTTCACAGGCACATTTGTGATCAGTTAGAGAGGCCTCTAATCTAAAAAAACAAAGACTGGATAGGTCGTAAATCTCTGAGCCACAGTGCACCGAGAATAAACCTCTTTCACAGTTTACCTTTCTAGTTATAGATGGGTGGACTTCGCCTCATAAAAGAGTGGTAGAAATGTCAGTTTTGTATGCTTTTCATACTCGACAATGTCTGATTTGGCTGCACAGTTTGGTTTAATCTGGCACACCGAGCAGACTAAAACCCTGGGAAATAACTGGAAAATAAGGCCCTCAGGTGCGCAAATCAGCTTTTTGAGAAAAAGTCAGCAATGCTTGAATTTGGCCCTTTACTGAATCCTACAGTTTATTCTTTAGCAAAAAGCTTCAGCCCTCACTTCCTACAGAGCACCAGAGGAGGTTTAAAGTGACAGTGAAATTGATTTTCATTGCATTGTACTTTGTTAATTTGATGCATGTCCTCCTGAAGCGCGATTTTTGCACAGAATAGGAAAGGATTAACTCCAAGCTAGTAAGACACTGGGATGTCATTTATAGAGAGAAGGGCCATTTTTGAAGGGGTAGAGGCAACTGAATGTCTGCTAAATATGTGACCATACTATTGGTTGGAATATTTTTGTGTATAATAATGATTAATGATTCTCTGTTTTACCAGGAGACAAAAGTACATCTTGAATGTAAAAATAACAGATTGTTTTCAATAGGAGGAGCAGATACTGTGGATAATGTATGAATTGGTTATTTTGCATTACTGTGTGACTTTAAAGTGCATATTTAGAAGGACTTCAATGTTGAATTTGTTTTTTCCGTCCTCATCGACCGCCTTGATTGACAGTTTGCCCTATACCAGTGGTTTGAAATGAGATAGCATGACGAAATATTCACACGTTAACTCGCACACTATCATCCTGTCAACCAGCACATTGTACGAATCCACACAGCAGCACAAGCTACACCCCACCACTGCACTACATGTGGTTTGTATACAACAAGCAAATTTGATGTATTTTGTGAAAATCAAAATACTTTCTGTAATTTCAGTTCAAATATTGATTATTTGTGTCTCCTTGTGCACATTGGATCCTCTCCAAGAGACCCCCTCCCCTCCCTTATAAAATGATGCCTTATGTAACACAGCATCACAGCATCATACCTTCACGTCATCGGTTGGCACAGTCCATCGTCCAAGCCCATTCCTCTCTTTTTTATTTAGTGTTCTTCTCCTGTGCAGGCGTGTAATGGGATTCTTGTTACTTTCGGTTATCTAGCTTTATGAAGAATGTACGTCACTCATACAGCTAGATAACCAAAGATAACAGACAACCCCTCAGGCCTGCGAACACAGCTCTCTGCTGGCACACACACACACACACACACACACACACCTCCGACACACCTGTGAGGACAAACAATGACAGGGAAAACTGCTTTAAAGGGCTAATTCACCAAAACATCGCTCATTTGATGTGTTTTGCATGTATTCCAGAGGCGGAAATAATGACAATAATAGTCATAAATCTGGAGCGGTAATGCAAATGATTTATCACATGGTGTTAAAAAAACGCCTCAGAGAAATGAGATGAAAAACAAGCACGACTAAAGATTCACAAGGGATACTGCTGGGAAAACACATTTTCCAAGCTATTAAGTGTTTTTTATATGTCTGAAATGTGAATAGGTTCTTATAGGAATTCAAAACAAAGCATTATAGCTGACTATCCAGTGAACTAAAGACAACAACAATAAAAATCTTTATGAGGGGCATCGGACGCTAGGGGATGAAATGGAGAAGAATTTACACAAATAGTGCAAATAGAAAATGTTATAGCAGAATGCTAAAAGGAAATTCTTTGAAAATGTAACACATGCCCTCATTTTACAGTGGGGTAAATACTCAATTACTGTCTATATATCATCTATATTCCCAGCTGAAATTATTTAAACTGTACAAACGGGCGAGATGTCACATTCATAATTCTTGAAGAAGTACTTTTTTGTCTTCCTGTAGTTCTTTATATATATATATATATATATATATATATATATATATATATATATATATATATATATATATATATATATATATATATATATATATATATCATGAGCATTATTACAATATTAACATCCACAAAATATTCCATGTAGGTTATGTATCGTTTAAAAATATATCTTCAGTCCAGCATGGCAGTTCAGATGTAACACCAACTGTAAAGGAGTTAGTTTGATATATTTCTCATGTGTGTAAGTGACTGATAGCTTCACTTAAATGTGCAAAAAAAAGGTTACAAAATGTATGCAAGTAAAGAAATGTGGGACAATTATTGTGGTTATTATTAATTTATATCATTATGCAGTATTTTTAGACCTTTTAGACATGTTTATTTTAAATATTACAAGATATTTGAATTAGATCCTTTTTACTTTAGGCAAGTGCAATCATATTTATTTAAATTGTGACATAATTTCTATGAAACATAATTATGTGAAAATACAAAAATATTTAGACCCCAAGCCAAATACATCAGTGTGAGTGTGTATATGTCTAAAAAAAATTTTTTAAAAAGCGTTTACCCCCCCCCCCCCCATAAAGTGCTTTTTTAATGCTTTTGGCGAGAGAGGGGAGTGACGTCACAGGCATCGCTGGCTTTCAATTAGTGTGTTAGCAGCGAGGTGTGATGTGTGATGCCTAATTAACACACACACACACGCCATTATGGAGAAGATGTTCTTTCTTACAGCATCGTGAAAATAGGCCACTGCTTCCATCCACAAACACACACCGCTAAATGAACTGTTAACAACAGTTAAAGCTGCAGGAAAGCAGAAAAATGCGGATAAAGATATTACAGGCTGCACATAATTGAATGCGTAACATTTTATTTTGCATTTGCTTACTCGAAGGTCTCCCAGAGAGGATGAATTATACTGAAGGCTTTGGATTTTTGCCCAAAAAAAACCCTCAATCCATTAGTGGAGATCACTTTGCTGTTTGCAGGCCGCGACACGCACGTTTTAACACGAGTTCACGACTTCAGGGTTCACACTTGCTGACAACTTTCTCGTTTGCAATGTATTTATTGTTTTTCATTGCACTATTACACTATTGTCTCAATCTGTCTATTTCGTTTTTGTTTATAATGTGTGTTTGATTTTATTAATGTATTATTGTGTTATTGTAGCCTATAAGTAGCACAGCGTGAGCATTGTACAATCCAGAGTCAAATTCCTCGTATGTGTACACATACCTGGCAAATAAAGCTGTCTCTGATTCTGAACTGTGCTTTTCTTTCCCATTTACTGTGTGTGTGTGTGTGTGTGTGTGTGTGTGTGTGTGTGTGTGTGTGTGTGTGTGCGCGCGCGCGCGCGCGCGCGCGTGTTTTAAGTTTTTTAAATTCCAAAATTTGAATTGCATGAAATTTAAGTGGGATGTCTGTAGCTGCTACAATGGACACAATAATTGTCAAGTAGCCTAATCGTCGTTTTATATTAGCCTATGCCTCGTGTGTATTTCGCTATACTAAATTTAATAAAATACTAATAATTATTATTATTGCAGCGGATTCTTTATATATATATTGCTTTTTGTTTTTTTCTGTTTGTGTTATTCATGTTTGTCAGGTGCTAACCAGAGGCTTTCACAAAGCATTTGTGATTTAAAGCATTTTGCACCGTTGACTGTAAATTGACTCAAATGAGACACTTGAGACCTTTTCTTTAAGCTTATATCTGATGCATTTCCTGGAATCAGGCCGTGCAGAGACCAGTATGGCATGAACAGCTTGTGACATACTATATAGCTTTAAAAAACCTATAAGATAATGTAATGCATGGAAAATGATAAAGAAACAAAAAAGACATTAGGTTCGTCTGACCCCCAGGTCCCTGTGGGGAAATTACACTGAAGTGTTCTCTCAAGGTAACTTGACGGCAATACAGTGAAAATGTTCTACTTTAATAGATTGTCAGGACCATAAAAGACTGTAACTGCTGCGAAATGTGAGCGGAACAGTCGCGTCCACAGAAAAGATCCAGAAAGGATTTTAAAATGATTTCCAGAAGTGATCGATTAGTTCCACACAGCGAGAGAGAGGGAGAGAGGGGGAGTGTAGGTGTTTCTAATTTTCTGTGTATTATTATTCTAAGCCAGTTTAAGTCCTACACAGTCATCAGTGTTAAAGTTAAAGTGAAATCATTCATATTCACCTGGGAGTTGGAGGAAGCCTTCATCTTCATTTCTGGTGCTTTTGTGTTTATGTTTCTGGAATAAGAAAAAAATTAAAAAATGACTTGGGGATAGGATGAAAAGTTGACAAAAATGTCCCAGAAATACATCTTTAGGCTGAATAAAACACACGATCCCCTCTCTCTCTCTTTCTCTCTGGAAAATCCCTGGAAAACACCCCTAGGTGGGAAATCTGCCTACTAGGTCACAAACGAGTCCAGTTTGCGTTGCTCAGCAGGGTCGTTCAGTTTTGCACCTGCAGCTTGAGAGGGAGGTCTGACTCTGCGCCAGAGTGAGGCTCCAGAGATGTTGCTGCAGACTCACCGCGGTCCCTTTTCAAATTAGAGCCTTGTGTCTCACGGCGCAGTCAGCTGTCTTAACATGCCTTCCAGACTAAATATTTCCGTGTCTCATTCATGTCTTTAAGGGGGGATTTTCATTGGCGAGGTCAACCGGCCGTGTATTTTTGCCTGGATTCACCTGTTCAGTCGAAGTGCAGAGTCATGTTTACTGCACATGATATAGTATCTGAAATTTGGGGGAATAATTTGCTTCATGCGGCCTGGACCCTGTACGAGTGAGTTATGCAGTTCAGGGCCTTAGTGATAAAGCAAAATACATTAAGTAGTCTCTTGCATGCGTAAAATCAGTGTTTCTCTATAATAAACCTGATGCACAGAGAATTTGTTTGCAATACAAAGTCCAGCAATATAGCTAGTAGATTAACAAGAAATATCTCTAGGCTTTGGCGCAGTAACCATGAATTAACTATAAATACATACTTAATACTAAAAGTTATGTATGTAATAATTATAGCAGAAAATAAACATATACATGCTTGAGAGGGAGGTCTGGCTTCCCACTCACACAGATTAAACAGGCCTTATGTAAGAGCTCTGTGCTGGCACTATAATCCCAGGCTGCAGGAAGCCGCACGCTGTTCATGTACAATAATCACCTTTTGCTTTTTACATACCCCCACTCCCCCCATTTTAGGCTTTTCTGCGCGTAATCTGTTGACAGCAAACTGGCCACACACAACGCAACACTGCTGCGAAAGGTTGCACCACCCGGCCCTTGACACCACCGCAGGCCGGTGTACTCCATGCAACAATACAATTACACTTTACTAAAATCTACAAGGAGATGCCTTATAGCTAAAGTGAGCGGCAGGGTTTACTATCTCTACAGTTTGGGAATTAACCCTGTGAAAATGGTGCAACATGAACTTATGTAATAGCAAGGATGATAACAACAGAAGATAAGGCTGATCCGGGGTCAGTGTCACTGAAAAGATTCAGATTTAAATTCAGCATTGCTTTATTGGCATCAAATACACCAAACCTTTGTTGCCAAACCAGAAAAGTGGGGAAAAACTCTAAGAGTCTATTCTTGTTAAAAATGTAGGTTAAATGAGCAGAAGGATAGAGAGGAGAGAAAGAACAATGTTGATCCTCGTTCTTTGGTACAATAGTAACATTAATACTAATAAAGTCGCCAATAAAGACTGAAAACTGGTCAGAATTCCTTGCGGAAGACAAGAGATCACCTGCCAGAAGAAAGGCCACTAAACTCAGCGCTAAAATTGCTGACTGCTGACATCTGACCATAGAAGTATGAAGTCAAACTCCCTCGGATATATAGGATCTCTGGGCTGCAGCCACAAGTGAAACTACACGTCTGTGCTGCTGCCATCAGACTGTGTTCAGCCTTTATCTCAGATGCGCAGCAGCAGCACCATTCATACAGACCTTAAACTGGTCTGAGAAAAGGAAAAGCCACATTGGGAGAAAATGCAGAGATTTAGTATTTAGTCGGTCTGTAGATCCTCACTTATTCCACAATAGGTAAAACACATAATACAGTGTATCGCCTAAACACGCATAAGCTCGCCATATAAACCCTCTTCTTCACCTCTCCTGTAGGTTTTTGTTGAAACTAAGACTCATTTGCCACAAAATCACTCATAATACAAAACACGGTTCTTACTGTCCCTCCTCAGATGCAGCAGGGTGGGTTGCACTGGGCTTGGATGAGCTCCTGGTAAGCAGCGGTCCCTCCGGACGTGCGGCATGCTGGGAGCCAAGTGAGCGCGTTCATGAGCGGCGTATGGAGCTTTGTGGCGACGGCGCATCGTGACGTCCCGCCGGCCCCGTCCATTGTTTTATTCTAACGGGTCCTCTTGTTTTTTTTCCGGGCATATCGTCACACGGCTGTCCTCCACATCCGCGGCCCCCGTCCTCCCCTCACCAAACAGGAGAGTTGGGGCTTCCCGCCTGGATGACTACATCTCCACCACCGTTGTCTCCAAATGGTTTAACATCTCATTTGTCCAAAATCATATACGTCGTCCAAGCGCCACCCCCTCGTGAGTCAGTGAGGTAACACTGTTCCCACCCTCTGAGATTTTTGATATTATGCAAGACGGCCAATGTAATTATAATAAGGACCTATGGCAGCGCCTCTCACGCCCCCCAACAGACGCATGTAGAAGTGCATGTGGCACCATCATTCATTCATCCAAACTAACGTCTAAGTCTTACAGGAGCTTTCAGTGTGTGAGTCAGTGTCATTAATCTGCATGCCTGTATTGTGTTATCCCTGTAATATTCCTATATATATCCACATGATATGTTTAGAGAGTTGTTTGAATTCCAGTAAAAGTATTATATTATATTTCTACTCAAACGCTACCTATTAATCTAATGTGCTCATTAAAGTCTGACTCAGCATCATGAACATCATGCTCTCGCTTTTGGCTATTTCCAATTGATATTCAAGCTTGTAAGTTTTGCCTACATATCCTATCCTTATAGTAGCCTACCTACAATTGTTTGTTGGCCAGTACAGGGAATTATTCATGAACGTACTGCAGAAATGCAGACAAGGCTCTGTGATTTTTAGATGGTTAAATGCGAAAAGTCATGTCTTTGTATTTGGCTTCCCACCCAGAATTGACATATCTTTAAGATGGTGGTTGTCTGTGGGACTAAAACTTGTGGAGGCACACTGGAGAGGCGCTCCCGCTTGGCTAATTATCATGATAATCACACCAGAAATCTTTTGAATCAGTGAAACACGAATCCTCTCAAACGTTATTTTATATGGTCTCAGTCTTGTCTGTATAGCCATAGATGTGTTCATCATTTGCATTAAAGAAAGTTTACTCAGTCATGTTGATCTGTCTAGACCACATCGGTGTGTGGAAGTGCCTTCATACACAGGCCGCTCACTACAAATTGTACAAATGTCCTACAGCTACGCTTCAGTTAGAAAACATACCTATTTGGTACTACATAAGTAGCCTATAGGCAGACTTGCTTTATAAAGGATTTATTCATTGTAGTAAATGGCTTTATAACTGGTTAATAAAACATTAATAAAAGCTTTATGGTCAGTTGTAATCCATTAATAACAACACATTTTACATAGCCAGGTTATGTTAGTCAGGTTATGTAACTGTTACCATGTGGCCACTTACTTGCAAGTAAAAATGTTGCAGAGGTTCTGGACCAAAATCCATTTATTAACAACTTATTAAGCATTTATCAACAACTTTTATAACAGCAATGTTACATAGGGATTTTATCACAATCTGACAATCCTAAATGTTGTTATTAAAGGTGTAAAACTGATAAGGAATTAGTAAATGATTTATCAACCATTAATAAAGCCTCTACCCCTCTATATGTCTTGTTTATTAGTGGTACAGTGAAACTTTATTTTGCTTTTATCTTTATCTTTCAAAAACAATTCCCTAAACAGATGGAAACCTCAGACCTGTTTGGCAGAGTCATTCTCTATATGAATGATGGACATGCGGAGCTGAAAGACCCGGGAGAGCCTCTGATAATGGACTGACGGATGTTGACGTGAACTGTAGCCGTTTTCTCTCTGCTCTACGTATGTGGGACCAGATCCACACACACGTTTACTGAGCTGTGATGAGAGAACTTAAGTTCATTTTTAACCCCTCTACCAAGAAGCTCACAGAGGCGCGCTTACACCAACACCTGCACACGCCTTGTTGCTAGGAAATCAAATTTCTGTGCCCTTCCTATGCAGTGAAAACCATGCATCTCCAAATTTGGAGATTTTAGATGCGATTTTGTTCTGATAAAATGAAAGATTAAGTTTTCCTTCAAGCTTAAGCTTATATTTTTAACTTAAGCTTATCTACTAAGGCTTTCCTTTTCCAAATAAACTATTCAACCCCCCTTGGATCAGCTGGAAAGTGAATTGTTACAAAACTTAAAACAAGGCTGTTTTTCGAGATACATGGTTCTCACTGGACAGCGATGCTACAAACATATGATGATATCTAAATATAAATAGTATATGATGCATTGCTGTAGATTAAACTACCCAACAGTATATAAAGTAGTTAAACTACAGCAGTAAAAAATGAACATAAACAATAATGCAGCAGTAATATTATTCCAAAAACATCATATATAGTAAAACATTGACAGGGGCCCTTCTTCTGCCAAGTGAGAATATAATATGACGACTTAGATAAGGTTTTGAATGCTGGACTTTTACTAGTCTTTTCATAGTGTGTATAGCTACTTTTACTTAAGTAAATGATCCAAATACTTTTTCCACCACTGCCCAAATCACAACTTTGGCTTTATGGTTAATCCTAAACCCCTCGATTAGGGAAAGGAAATACACCCCTCACAAAATATCATCTGGAACAAATGGGAGAACCCTCAAGAAGAGCAACAATGGTGGGATCTCTGAACACTACAGAAGAGACAGAAATATAAGTGGTAGAATTACAATACAGAGAAACAAATAACTAGCACATAATAGCACAGTTAATGTAAGACTGAAAGAACTTCTAGTTATAGACTCTGTAGGACTATAGTTGCGATAGTCCTACTGAAATAAAATAGTTTCAAAAGTTTCAAAGTGTAAAAGTCCTTCCTTTAAAATCATACTTAATTAAAAATACTGAGGTATTATCTGAAAAATAGTAGTTAAATAGTAAAAGTATAAGTACTTTTTATACAGAAAAAGATGCCTTTAAGAATTATTTCTGATCTATTAATGTGTTAGCAGCATTTTAGTTGGTTGGGATGGAGCTCATTTCAACTACTTTATATGGGTAGATTAATCTATAACACATATTTTATTTGTCGGTCATATGATTTTATGTATTATATTGACCTCTGAGATGTAGAAGTAGGCCTATAACGTAGTATGTATATAATGGAAATACTTAAAAGTATAAGAAGCCTAACTCAAAGTGTACTTCAGTATAGAACCTTTATTAAATCCTATCCCATTATGAAAGAGTTTTATTTAGCTTTATTTATTCATGCTGTGAGATGTTTCTGAGAAAAAGTGCCATGTTTTCCACTGAATTTGGTTCCTACAAAGTCATTTAAAAAGTGGCAAAAATAATGGTTTGTTGCCCTTCTATACTTATTGTAACGCGTTACTCGGGTCGTGAGAAGCAGACAGTCTTCTGGCTGGTGGGTCACAGTCTGTCTCAGACCCTCCGACAGCAGTAAAGCACCCTCACCATCCCTCCATTGTTTTATTGCTGCTAGCCCAGACACCATGCAGGCTTCACTGAACAGAGAGGCAGCCAACATTGCGACAAAACCAGCTTTTAGGCACATCCACTCATGGATCATGCAAGTACGGCTGATCGGTACAAAACCTCTCCTGTTGTTACTGTAAATATGAGTTGTAATACTTTTGCCTGACCACAAGGATTCAGTGTGTGTATTTTTACTCGTGGATGCAGGGACCTGGCACCCTTTCACTCCCACGTCGCACCAATATTCAAATTGGGGTCCTCTGATTTGAATAGGAGCTTAATGAGACTTGGTGGTGTATAATAAATGACAAAGGAGGGGGCACTTCATGAGACTGAAGGCAGAGATATTCGAGAAATGTTGCAAGCCAAAAGTTGTACTTCATTTGACCCCCAACTAAATGTAAGGAATAAAATAGGCTATGTAGAGGATGTAGAGGAGAAGATATTTGTTGTTAAAATACATTATATTTTACTGATGGATTAGTGCGAAGACCTTACTTAATATCTGACAGCTGAAGCTCTTCCTTCTTTCCAGTGGGAAGCTCTTCGGAGGATAGCATGAAGTCAACTGGTGGTCTATGAACACACAACCACAAACATGCACCTCTGGGGTGAGAGGACTCCTTGTGTCAAACATGATGGAGAGAATTTACATAATGTAAACAGTGACAGTGAATGCAGATCACAGTGCTTCTACAGGACATGAGCAGCAAGAGGATGTAACTGCTCAGATTGTGGTGCCGCTGTTGGCCCCTGTTGTGTCTTCCCCTAGAGGCTAGTTGACATATACCCTGAAGGAAAAGCAAAGTGAGGTTAGTCTTTTCTGCTTGTGGACATGTGTCTATGCATTCCCACCAATATAGCTTCAGTAAACATCTTGAACCTTGAACATGCTGAAGTCCTCATTGTTACTGCTCACATGAGGCCATATGAAGCTGTTCTTGTTTATTGTTTATTTAGTTTTTATAAAAGGGTTTGCTAGTTACCAAAAGCCAGAAAAAGGAAATGCTGTAATCAGCTAGTCTTCCTGGGGTCCACATATAACAAACAGAACCAAAACAACATTGAATATATAAAATAATTGAAAAAAAACACCTCGTAGTAACTAAAAGCTGTAAGTGTTTTCAAATGCATTTTGAAAGAATACACCGATTATTTACTGGCCCAATGCTCCTTATGTGCAATCTCCTGATTAGCTGATGTGAGGACGAGGCATTTCTTGTTTTTAAGAAGTGAACATTGCTTTAAGGTTTTGGTTGACTGAATAGATATTACTGGCTTAGATGGATACATGATGTTAAACAGTGAAAGTAGAAAACAAAATAAACTTACTCACATCTTATCATGCCTTTCCTATATAGCTGATATAAAAATTGACTTGGATCCAATGAGGAACAAGAATGAATAGATAGATGGATTTATTTTTGTTTAAGACCCTGAATGAGTTTTCAGTCCCACATGCTTTGACACTAAACTATGTGGGTCTGTTTAGCCAACATGTGCATTTTAATCAATTTATAATTATAAAACACACTGTAGATACTGTAAAGTGTAGGCCTACAGGACTTTATATTCACCATTAACTTCCTTCAAAAATAATGAAAGAAATATATTTTTTTAATACAGTTTGATTTGGTTGTATTTTGTTTAACTCTCTACTCTTGCTCTGGGAATTTGCCACAAAGCTGTTTTTTTTTTTTTTGAAAAACAAACTTTCAATCTATCGAAAACAAGTGAACAAAAACTATTTGGAATATATTTTATTATAGGCTATTATATTTATGTTACACAAAAGCAAAGTGGACAGAAAGTGAATGAAATCCAATTCTATTAGATTCAACAGGCTTTTTGTTGCAGGGGTTAATGAACAGAATAAAAGTCAAGGGGACATGTGTCTGTGTTTCTGACTAGACTCTGAGACCAACAGATGAACTTCAGCCAAGATTTAAGTGGACAACTGGTGACTAATTTAGATAAATCCAGAAACATTTTAATTGGCTGTGTTGCAGGGCTGTGCATAAAAAACGAATAGGTATATGTTTTATGACTTAGAGGTTAGATGATTAGTTACACATTGATTTTGTGCTCTTTAGCAGAGGTTTTATTTCAGGATTTGATTATTAAGATCATGTTATAGCCTTCAGCAAACAAACAGACCGCACTCACCTTTTTTATTTTCAACCAATGAGGTTTATGCACAACCACATTTTCAACAATCACCCTTTGAAATTGAAGCTTCAGTTCCAGTGAAAAATACAAAAATTATTTTGCTCATTTTCAAGCTATTTTATTTAAAGTTTACGTTTTTCTAAAATATCGAAATTCGAAAGATTGTCCCACTATTAGCCCACATTTCATTTAGAATCGCTTTGATTTCTCCACTCGTCGTTCATGAAGTTACGACAGAAAAAGGCAAAACCTAAGTCAGGTGAATTACACCACAATCAAAAAAGCTACATTCCCTCTACTCTCTCTCATTTTTCTTTGGCTGAAATGAGCGATAATAGTTCATATTTTTACACATGTATAATCCTGTAATGTTTTGATTATCCATTATTCGTGACTGGAAATTTGCTAAATTATTAACTGCTCATTTTATCGAGAATATAGGTTTAAGAAATATTAGAGACTGTAGAAAATATATATGAGCAGTTGCAGTTTTGGAAATTT